TATGCATCTGAAGAAGTGAGGTTCTCACCCACGAAAGCTTATGCATCTGAAGAAGTGAGGTTCTCACCCACGAAAGCTTATGCTCCCAATACTTCTGTTAATCTTAAAGGTGCCACAGGACCCTCTGTTGCTTTTTACAGATTCAGACTAACACGGTTACCCCTCTGATACTCATAATAATAGTTACGGTTGCTCAACACTTTACATAAGACTCGGTTTTCAGTTCCGTACAACTTTGCCAAACTAACTGTTCAAGCTGAAATTTCCCATGCCTGATGTTTGCATCAAGCTAAAATTTGTTGAACATTTCAGCAAAAGTAGCTGACACATTTCTCAAAATACGTTTAGGAGAAAATTAGGGCTGTCAAGCGATTAAAAAAAATTAGTCACGATTAATCGTGAGAATATCGTGCAATAGAATACCTTTTTAAAAATATTTTTTGATGTTTTCTGCATTTTCAAATATATTGATTTCAATTACAACACGGAATACAAAGTGTACAGTGCTCACTTTATTTTTGATTACAAGTATTTGCACTGTAAAAAAAACAAATAGTATTTTTCAATTCAGCTAATACAAGTACTGTACTGGAATCTCTTTATCATGAAAGTTGAACTTACAAATATAGAATTATGTAAAAAAAACCTGCATTCAAAAATAAAACAATGTAAAATTTTAGAGTCTGCAAGTCCACTCAGTCCTATTTCTTGTTAAGCCAATCGCTCAGACAAACAATACTGCCCATATCTTGTTTAAAATGTCACCTGACAGTGAGAACAGGTATTTTCATGGCACTGTTGTAGCTGGAATCGCAAGATGTTTACGTACCAGATGCACTAAAGATTCATATGTCCCTTCATGCTTCAACCACCATTCCAGGGAACAAGCGTCCATGCTGATGACGGGTTCTGCTCGATAAGAATCCAAAGCAGTGTGGACCGACATATGTTCATTTTCATTATCTGAGTCAGATGCCACCAGCACACAGCAACAGAGGGTCCTGTGGCACCTTTGAGACTAACAGAAGTACTGGGAGCATAAGCTTTCGTGGGTAAGAACCTCACTTCTTCAGATGCAAGACTTGCATCTGAAGAAGTGAGGTTCTTACCCACGAAAGC